CAGCCCCCCCCCCCCCCCCCCCCCAGGGAGGATGGCCAGGCCGCAATCCCTTCTCCTTAATTCTCCTCTCGGGATCTTGGGCACACACGCACACTCACCCGGTGTGAGTTTAAGCCACCAGGTTCAGGACTCAAACTGCGGTCGACTACATGGGAGTTCAGTGACATAGCCATTACGCTAACTGCTGTTCCCAAAAGGGAATATTTTTTAAAATGAGAAAAGAATTCACAGCAACGTATGCATTTTTTTTTTCAGAGATTTTTACCATAGGGTGTGTGTGTGCTTGCTGGAGAGACAGACAGAGACAGTGAGAGGGTAATTGAGAGTTCACTCCACCCCACCCCGCCCCGGGGGAATGGCCACGCTGCAATCCTTTCTCTTCCACTCTCCTCCCAGGATCTTGGGCATGCATGCACATGCGCCTGGTGTGAGTTTCAAGTCACCGGGTCCAGGACTTGAAACTTTTTCATTTTAAAAAGCAAATACTGCAAATATCACAAAATTCAGCAAATAATATTTCTATCAATAAGATCCTGGCAAAGTCTGTAATACTTTTTTCCTTTCACACTTTTTTGTGACATACTCACTATTTTCCATTGATGACAGTTTTATAATATCACTTTCTCTAGCGAGAATAGAAAGAGTTTAGTCTTCTGGCATGGCTGATTAAAATCAGCTTTTATTATTGATAGGGTATATTAAACTTGACACTTTGCACAGACCCGTGCTTGCTTCCTAATGCTGCTACAGTCTTCTGTGCTACAGGGCAGGAGATTCTGCCTTCCCAACACATTCTGCTTTGCATGATTCCCACTAAACACAGAACGTCACTCCTGTACAGTGAACTGATAATGCAGTTCCTACGACAGAACCATTTATCTCTGAGAGGACAGGACCTCATTCGACTGGGTGTTTTTGAGAACTAAATTACAGTTTTTTATTTCTGACAATTGCAAACTTTCCCCACAGACTGGCTATGGGCTCTGCGCCTTTCCAACTCAGGAGGGGTGCTGGGATTCTAGGGCATGATCTGTTTCACGTGGGGATGGCTCTGCTCCTCTGAGCTGAGACTCCGTTTGAGTTGGCCAGGTGGAAGGAGGTGGAAGGCAACAATGAGCTCTTGCAGAAAAGACTGCAAACCACGTGAACAAATCCCTGAACAAATCTCATAAATTGAAAGTACATGTATTCCGTCTCAGGGCCTCCCCTGGGGAATCCGCTCCCACAGCACCACCTGGGGTCAGGGGAGTGGGGAGGAGGGGAAGTGACAGCATCTTACTTGGCACATTCCGTAAGAACACGTGGATACGTTACCAGGGCTCCTCCCCGCAAAGGGCCTCCCCTAGTGAGAGCCCGGAGCTTCAGCTAGTTACCTTCCTGGCAAACCTGCCTCTGCCTGGAATAAAATTATTACTATGTAATGATGAATCAAAACAAGCAGGCAGGCAAGCGAGCAGCACCAGCAGTACAGCCACGGGGATGCAATGTTCGAAAAGATAAGCTAATGCTTTGAAGCCAACAGGATGTTACCGGAGCACCTGGTACTAGGAGGGCTAAAAACCCTCTTCATGTTTGCAGTGAAGAGCAGCTCACTTAGGTGAAAGTTGGCCTGTGGGTATATTTTCCCATTAAATGATGTTATCAAAATGATGACAAATGGAGATAAAACCCAAACCACTACAATCAAGCCTGTTTTCCTCTTCGAGCGGAGAAATGGGAGAGGTATTCTGCTCTCCCCGGTGTTGAGGAGCTTAGGGCGCTAGCATCCCCAAGAGAAGTTCTGTTGAGAGTTTCTAAGTGGATAGGAACTGTGCATGTGGGTGTGAATGATTCTTTACAGATTTCTTGAAGAACAGGTAAAAGATGAAAAGCAGTGACTTATCTATACTGCCTGAGGGGAATTAACATAGCAGTGTCGAGACTGCGTGTCAGCTTATAGGCGAGCCCCGAGAGCGTATGTGGAGTGCACGCAAATATTCGGCTCTGGAAAGTGTAGATCAAACAGCGGATGAAACACTGAGGAAGTTATTAAGGCCAGTAGAGCAGCACCTATGTAGGCTCGAGAAGACGTATTTAAGGAAGCATGAGACAGAGTAAAGTATAGCTGGGTTCAGAACCCACTCACGTTCGCACAGGAGCCCGGTGCTGTGTGTCAATAAAAGTCGAGAATGTTTAGAGAACGACCAAATGACCTGAAATTAGGTTAATTGTAATAAGGCTTTCCTTGGAGGACAAGGAATTCATCGTTACCTGCCTTTCACTAATTCCTTTCACTAATTCCTGAGAAACGAAGTTGAAAAAGATCAGCCTTAGAAAGGAGTTTCAGGAGCTCTTTCAAGAATTAACCCTGTTTTTATAAAGTGATCTTTATAGGAGCAAGCTTTCAATCTAGAGTAGAGATTTTAATTGGAAGTTATACATAAGTTCTTTTTTAAAAAAGAATGATTTAATTAATTCCATTTGTTATTATTATTTTTAAATTTGACAAGAGGGAGACAGAGAGAGAGAGAGAGAAAGAGAGAGAGAGGGAAAGCAAGAAAGGAAGCTGCCAGGTCTGGGTCTTGAACCACGATTGCCATATGGCAATCCAGCGCCTTTAACCACCATGCCACCTGCTGGCCCCTATACATAAATCCTTACTCAATGCTACATTTATTGCTTTGTATTTTATTGTTCTTATCAGAATGATTTATTGCATAAGTTATTTTTTTCTTGAAGCACTATACAGATACCTCTTACAGATCGCTCTTGCCGTTCAGCTCAGCGAGCCGCACAACCTTTTCCTCTGTACGGGCCTTGAGGGTAGACCGCAGGAAAGCACTTTTTGGTGGGCAGCCTCGATCCCTGCTGCATTATGGAAGTGCGTTCTTGCTCTGTCTCCTGTTCTGTACAGCAAGGATGATGACAGAACCTGCCTCGTTCTGTAGCTGTGAAGACAAAGTGGGTTAGTACCCTGTAAGCACTTAGAACCTGGTGCAGAACAGCAAGAAAGATGGAAACACAGACATGTACCTCTCTCCTTCCAGAACCACTAGCTGAGAGTCTGTCCGCAAGGTCTTGGAGGTCACACAGTAAGCAGCAGGGATCTGTGGCCTTCAGATGCACATGGAGGACCGTGTTCACTTCTTGCTGAGAGCCCGGTGTGAACCTCACTCAGTGCATATTATTTCCACTCCTTGGCAGATAGCAGTTGCTGATGAACAAACATTTGATTTGTGAGTAAAGAAAATTACAAAAGGAGAGATTTTTTTTCAGTCTAAAAATATTGAGCATGTCATCATTCTGCAAAAATTGCCAGATCCGGACACGAGGCTGCATCTGAGCTGGAGTCAGGCCTCATCACCTGCACGCGTCCGGATGCCTGTGCACTGGCTCTGCCCCGAAGGACTGCGTGTCTTCCCCCTGTGCGCCCGTGCTGCGGTGCGCAGGGCGGGTGACCGACGCGTTGACGTCTGTGTTTATTTCCTTTAGCGGAAAAAGTTCACCATCACGAGCAGCATCACCGGAAAAAAGCACACGTTTGTCACCGATTCCTCCAAGACCTGCAAATATTTACTGGGCCTCTGCTCTGCCCAGCACAGGTTTAACGCGCAGACGTGCTCCGGGCAGTCTCCCCTCGTGCTCCCTGGTGAGTAGGCGCTGAGTTCTCAACATACACTTTGGTAAGTTTATTTTCTAATACAATTGGCATAAATAGACACAAGTGACCTGGAAACTTCTAGAAAAGCTTGTCTCTGTAATGCATACATTCAATAAAATATAAAAGTATATATGCACAGGTGAGATTTCGTATACAGCTTCTCGGAGGTTGCGTACTCTGAACGGCAGGAACACATGATGGCCTTTGCATAATGCACCCTGAGGATGTGTTCACGTCTTCCTGTCTCTATAGATACCATACAGAAATATGATAAAATAGAAGAAAAATGAAATACACTTTTTTCCTCTCAGGCTGGCAAACACTAAAATAACACTGAAAGAGTAAATTGACACAATCTTTCCAGAGTATTCCTGACAACACTTGCTTCAAAAAGCTTCAAGTTTGTGTTATTTGGCGCCGTAACTTCACCTGTAGGTAGATAATTACCCCAAACAAGAACTATAAAGGTACACACAGTTGGTGTCCGTGGTTGCTCCCTGGACTAACAATAATCATTTTTTAAATTGTTTGAGGGTACATGTGCTGACCAGAGAGAATAAAACAGACAGAGACAGAGAGAAAGAGGGAGAAGCACCCCCCAGAAGAACATGGTCACGTCGCAATCCCTTCTTCATTTCTCCATCCTGCTTGGATTTGGGGCATGCATGCAGATGTGACAGGCATGTTTTTCAAACCAGCAGGTCTGGGATTCAAACCCTGCAGTAGGCTATGAAGGATCTGGCTTCCTGAACCCCTAGGCCACAGGGTTGGCCCTATAAGAGTGAACATTTTAAAGCAACCAAGTATCCCCCAAATAGAAGACTTCTTAAATAAATCACAATACCTCTATATAATGCAGAGGTTCAAATCAGGTTCTGCAGAACGATGGTGTGTGAGACTGTGAGGGAGACCCAGATAACGAGGTGGTGCCTGACCGCATCCGATGGAACCTTCTGCAATGACAGGCGTGTCCACACCGTTCGGTGCGGGAGTCACTAGCAAGGTGTTCTGCTGAGCACTCGAAAGTTGGCAAGAACAACTGAGGAATGAAATCTTTCAACTTAATTGCTATTAGTTTATAATTAAATATAAATGGCCACAGATGCCCACAGTACTGGGCAGCACAGGTATGGACACGATGCTAATTTGGTTAATACCAACATGTTACAAAACAAGAATGAAACAACACGGAAATGAACCACACCACACATCGCTTGTTATGACCCTTGAGAGTTAGGCATGCAGACAGGACTGCTTTCCCTTCTGTATATTGTTTGGTTTTATTGGACGTTCAGTAATGAACGTGTATTATTGGTACAACTAGGAAAGAGACTCTTGGTTAGAACGGGGTCACACAGCACGTAAGAGTGCTCAGCCTGCGCCGAGCGTTGGGACGTGCCAGGGAACTGTTCACCATTGCACCTACAGCCTTCCCGGCCTGGCCTTATGCTGCGCACGGTGATGGAGTCTCTCATTTATGCCCAGAATACATCACTTCCTCACACCCCCATCGCCAAGCGGCCCCATGAGGCAGGCAACCGGCATTTCTGGGAGGAGCTGAGTGAGGCTTGGAGAGGTCAAGTAATGTGTCAGCTGCTAGGTGCTGGGGTCCGGATTTGAACCTGTGACTCTGGGGGCTCCGTGCCTGCCTACTTCAGCCTCTGCCCTCTGGCCTTTTATAACTCACCAGAAGGTGGACTTAAGCACTGGAGTGACTTGGCTTTGAGAACTGGTTTTCTTTCAGTTGTCGTGGGTCTCTCTGAAGCACACAGGCCCAGCTCGGAGTGTGGCCCCTGGCCTGAGCAAGCACGTCTGTCACCTGGGAGCTTGCTAGGGATGGAGGATGGCACAGGATGGACACGTGATACCGAGTAGGTTAGCACTGGCATGTCACAGAACGAGGAAGAAACAGGAGACTAACTGCCCCCAGTGCCACTTGTCATGACCTTCCTGAGTTAGGCACGACTCACAGCAGGTCTTGGTCCCAGCCCAGACCTAGTTATTGAGATTTGCATTTTAAAGAGCACCTGAGAGGTCCAGCGGGTGACCTGGAGGTAAGGTGGGTGGATCCCACATGGCTGAGTTTGAGTTTGGACCCCGAGGCTTGAAAATCCCACTGGGCACATGTGCATGGGCTAGCAGAGAGTGTAGTGGTTATATTGCCGGCCCCTCATATGACTGACTGTGGTTCGAGTTCTGGACCCGGCGGCTTGAAAATCACACTGGGCACATGTGCATGCATGCTCAGGATCCCAGGAAAAAAGTGGAGAAGGGATTGCAGTGCGGCCATCACCCCTGGGAGTGATTTATCACTTTCCCTCTCACTGTCTCTGTCTCTTTCTCCAGTAAGCAAGCACACCCTAAGGCAAAAATCCTTTAAAAAAAAAAAAAAAAAAAGGACGTGTGTGCGTGAGTACCCAAAAATCCCGAGGAAAATGGAGATGGGATTGCGATGTGGCCATCGCCCTGCAAGGTGATTTCTCTTTCCTTCTCTCTTAAGGACAGCGTATTAAGGGCCAAGTAAACACATGAACATTTCGTTGAAACCACAGGGCGGTAGTTCCAGGGCATTTCTAGGGAGCAGGGGATGACAAATGAGAATTAATTACACTTGACTTACCGGGTATTGCTGTGAGACAGTGTGTGAAACCCCATCAATACTGCTTTATTGCCTGATTTCAGTGACTGTTCAATATTTATAGACTCTGCGAGCTCACTTGTGAAATTAGTCCTTCCAGGCCTCTTTTGCTTATAATATACTGTTTTCTCAAGCTGCAAATTCAACTGTCTCCTGGAATTTTCTGGAGTCTAACATATATTTGCATTAAAAGGCTAAATCTAGTCAATTATTCTGTGCCTTTTAAAGATATTTCTTCATATGAGAACCTCACTACATTTTTATGATTGCATGCAGTGAGGAAATGGCTGCTCCCTGGGGCCAGCATGTGGTGTAGAGGTTAAGGTGCTGGACTCCCATGTGGCTGACCACGTCCCATCCCAGACATGGAGGCTTGAGACCTACACTGGGCATGCGTGAGTGTGTGCAAGCCCCAAACTCCCAAGAGGAGAATGGAGAAGAAGGGATTGTGGTGTGGCCGGAACACTGCGGGGTGACTTCTCACTCTGTCTCTCTAGCAAGTGCACACTCCCTATAGCAAAAATCTCTCTAAAAAAAAAAAAGAAGAAGAAGAAAAGAAATGGTCACTCCCACTGGATATCTCCATGTGAACCTCTCAAACTCCACACATCCATGGTTGGTCCCTGCCTCCCACATCCTCCCTCCGCCATGATCTTTGACCAGATGGGACCACTCACCCACGCCGCAGGAAACCCAGGAGGTCTGCACCTGCAACCTCTTTTCTCACCCCAGCTGTCACCAAATGATCTCGGATGGGTTCCTGCCGGGACTCGTGTGCCCTGTAACCGTCCTCTCGGCCTGCAGGGTGACCTGTCCACAGGATAAGTCCAAGCGGTCTTCCCTATTGGAAACTTGTCTGTGGCTCTCTGCTGTTCACAGGGACAAGCCCACTTCTTAGGGTGCACGTCAGGTGCCCCATCAGACCCCAGCCTGGCTTACTTCTCGCCCCACTCCTCCCGCTCTGCTCCCCAGCTGTGTCGGGTGTTGGCTGCAGGAGGCTGAACACACCTCGATGCCTCGTGTCCCAGGGCCTTTGTGGCCTGTGCCGTCTCCACCTGCACTGCTGTCCCTCACCCCGTCCCAGCATAGACCACCAGGGCAGATCCCATCTCCGCGGATACACTCACGGACAACCTCTTCCTGCAGGCTTCCCTGCGGGCCCCTCCGGTGCAGGGGCTCACACCCTTCGTCTTCCGACCTGTAGTATCTTCGGCCTCTTTTGTTTGTGAATGGCCTGCCTTGTCTGCGGAAGACTAGGAGTTTGTGAGGACAGGGGGAGTGTGCTTTACAGCTCCAGCATGGAGCAGAGGCGCACCAAACAGGCAGTAATCCTTACCTTTGTTCTGAATGAATGAGTGTGGAAATACCAATGTTTGTTTAATAAGTCCTTTCTTTTTGATATCTAGTTTTTGCTTCTTGTTTTTAATATTATACATAATAATCCATAAAGCTGTGATAAACATCACTGGATGAAATACATGTGAATATTTAGTATTTTTGCTATATGGTATGTACGCTCACCAGAGTGGAAAAGTGAGAAATTCCTCCCCCCGCCCCCCAGAGTTGGCCATGCCACACCCCCTTCTCCTCCATTCTCCTCTTTGGATTTTGGGCACACACACACGTGCCCACTGTGTTTTTCAAGCTGCCTGATCCAGAACTCTAACGGTACACTCAACCATATGGGATCCGCCACCCTTGCCACCATGCCACGTGCTGGCCCAGAAATATTTTTCTATATCAGGTGCCATATCTTGAAGCAGGTCTCAGAAGTGAGGGGTGAGGGTACTGAGTATGCGACCCAGAGCCTGTGAAGGCCCTGGTCATTTTTCTCAGTGGCACGCCCACCGCCCACGCCCAGGAGGTCCTGCCTGCTCCGTTGTACCCTTGCTGGAATAGCGTTGTGTGTGTCTTTGTTCATCTGACAAGTAAAACTGCTTTCTTGCTGCTGTTTTAGTTGACATCTCTTTGATTGTTAGGAAGTGGAGCATGTTCCAAATGTCTCTTAGTCATTCTTCTGTGAGTCGTCTTGGTAAGCGCATTACTTTATGGTTAAATTTAGTTCCCCAGGGAGACAGGAAAATCACTGAGTTTCCACAAGTGCATCATTTCAGGACTAAATCAGGCGGGATCCGTCAGCTCTGCAGCCCACGGGCCTTTGCTCAACCCGTCAGGTGGCCCAGTACCCGCGGGTGCTCCCTGCCCTCCCTGAGCTGGTGGCGGTGAGACAGCAGGTTTGCAGCAGGTGCTGTGGGGTTTGCCCTGGCTCCCTGTCCCTGGGGCCTTCAGCTCTGGGTATTCCCCGTGCTCTTGAAACACTGTAACTAACTTGGACTTCAGCCCTTGGCATCCGGATGGAATCAGACATTTGTCAGCTACTTCCCTGGGGCCGCAGTTATATCATGAGTCATCCGTGGCCAGGGGACAGAAGGTGTCCACTCTGCTTGGGTTTGCCAGTGGCTTTGGAATGTTCTTGGTCACCTTCCCTCAGTTCCTGAAAGGCTGTCAACTCCAGGCTCGCCTGCCTGCCAACAAACGCTCCCTGGACTGTTGGTCCGCCCCGTCAAAGCCCGTGGAGCTGAGGCGTGTTAGCGACACCAGCACACCCCGCCAGCCATGCTGCTTCATGCTGAGTCACGATACCTGATATTCTGGGCCCCATTTCTGGGCCACACCGTGTGGCTCTGTCCTGCTCATGGCTTCCTCCTCCATCCTGGGCTGCTCTCCAGCTTCTGGTTGCAGGCAGAGCCCCACTTGGACCCTGGGTCCTCGGGCTCTTATCCCTCGGCAACCTCTGCAGCCCCCTTGCCTAAGGGACAGCGCCTTCCTTGAACCTCACGTCCTGCACATTCTTGCTTCAAAACTACTAACCCTCCAAGAAGCTGATGCATGCTTCCCCCGTCTCTGCCCAGACCATCCGCCCGTGGCTATCACATCCCCATAATCAGGGCTGAGGTCACTGTCCCTGCAGACCCAGAGGTTGGGCCTGTGTCAGGTGAAACTCCTGTGCTGCCGTTCTGGTCCTCCTCCCCTCAGCACCCCCATTTCCCAGTGCGGACTGTGGGGTCAGCAGACCTGAGTGCCCGTTCTGCTTCACCACGTCCTAGCTGTGGGACTGCCCTCGCGCTTCTCCATCCGTGTAATGGGGTTCCTGTGAGGATCGCGTGAGACAGTGCGGATGACCTGCTCCCGCTCTGCCTGGCACAGAGCACGCACCCAGCGAGTGTCCGTTGTTGGTGTCATGTCAGCGCTGCTGCTATCCCCTGAGCAGGTCCAAGCCCCAGAGGCAGACCGTGATTTGTGCAAAAGCCACAGGTCGTTTCAGACCGCTTACATCTCTCCGTTCTTTCCGGCCTACTGCGTGTGAGCGACGGCGCTGTACCGCCTCACACATGCGGAAAATTCTTAAAAAGCGTTCTTTAAAGGCCAGCTCTTTCAGTGGGCACGGCCCTGGCAATGGACCAGACCCCCCAGTAGGAGAGAGCGGGGGTCTGTTGGAGGAAATCAATGCCCAGGACAGCCTCGAGGCAGAAGCACGTCACCCCGCTTCGACATGCGTACGCACACATGTGCACGTGCACATGCAGCACTCACTGGAGACCGGAGCTGCACAGTGCCGTGTGTCCAGCGAGTCTCCTTCACTTTAGCAGGGAGCAGACGGTCAGAACCCTGCCCTCATGTTTCCTTGGCTTTGCGTAGTGTCCTTAACTTAAGGGACCTATTTACCAAATTCCCATTTCCTTATGAGCAGTACGACACAGTGAAGCGGGCGAGCTGTCTGCACTGGTGATGTCAAGGTCAGGGCACATCAGTCATTTGTTAGGCCTTCCTGCCTGCCAGAGCTGAGGGCCCGACACAAGTCAAATGCATTTTTAAATCGGATGTAGGCTCTTAGATTAAACACCAGCATCAGGGCAAACTAAGCAGTGCAGAGAGAGAACATTCTGTCCCACGGGGCAGAGCCTCATCTCGGGAGCCCAGCTGATCTGAAGACCCATCTGATACACGGACGTGTGTGAGGGCAGGAAACAGGGCGGGATGTGGCAGCTAGCTGCATGGAGGCTCTGCTGGGGCTGACATGCCACACACGCTCTCTGGTTAGCACCGTCAGGAAGACTGTCAGCTCCAGGGAGGGGTGGTCTTGCCTCTTCTCTTTTAGATCTCTGAGGTTTCTTTCCGTGCTGGTTGGGAGGACTCACATTCCCAGGGTTGATCACAAGAACTCCATGGATTAGCATGAGGCGAAGCACAGGCCTCTCAGTGCAGGAAAAGCAGAGGAGGGGCAGAGTCTGGGGCCAGTCTGCCGCTGCCCCCAGAGCACCAGGGCTGGCATCATTCGTGCGTTCATGTGTATCTTTTCCTCTCCAGATTCAGACCATGACACGCTTGTGCAAATGGCCAATGTGAGTCCTGCACACCAGGCCCGGTCCAAGCCTCTCCTTTGGATTCAGAGACTGTCGTGCTCAGAAAACGAGTTGTTTGCATCCAGGCTACAGGCTGCTGCAGGAGGCCCACTAAGCGTGTCACTGGATAACTTCAGTGTGGACGCCAGCAAGGAGGCTGGAACAGAAGGAACCAGGGGCAGGTGCGTTTGACACAGTTGTTCTCTGGGCCCAAACCACCATGGACTTGGTGCTCTGGAGTGATCTCTAGCTGATGAAATTGCCTGAAGGACATCAGATTCTAAGGAAAGTACACGTTCATTGGGGAACTGCCAGGTAATTCCAGGTTAACTGATGGGCAGCTCGGAGCTAAGTCCCTGCTCAACACTACGGGGAAATGTCTCAGTTTGTTGCGTGTCTCTGTAACAGAATACCACAGACCTGATACTGTATAATGAACAGAATGTACTTGGCTATGGTCTGGAGGCTGGTAAGTCCAAGAACATGGCACCAGCATCTGGCAAAGGCATTCATGCTGCATTGTCCCATGGAGGAAAACAGAAGAGCGAGAGAGGGAGAGAGTGAGAGGGCAAGAGGGGACCAGACTCACTCCCACAATGCAGCGATAACTAACCTGCCACCACTACCATGGCAACATTCATCCATCCTCACTGGTCACCTCTTACGACCAACTTCCCAGCGCTGTCGCATCGGAGATCAAGTTTCCAATGCATGGGTCTTGGGGGACACGTTCAAGTGATAGCTGCTGTCACGTGATAGCAGCAAGCACCTCATTCCTCTCACTGCCCTACTCCTGCCTTTCAGTGGAGAGAGAACTGGGGACGATATGAAATCGAACAGGATGAACAGACAAGATGCGGCATGCCTCTTTGGTCTCGTTGTGTCCTGAGCACTTGCACACATTGTCATTTAACTCTCACAACCTTGTGACATATTTCTGATATTCTCTCTATTTTGCAAGAGTAGAAACAGGGCTAAGAGTTTGAACACACATAGTTCGCCCTGGAGAGCATCCTAATCTCTACTACAATGCTTGCCTTCTGGGTGGATTGCTTGTAATTTAAATTCGTATGTGAAAATAATGAGCTTATAAATGCAACTTGAAATAACAAAACAATGATGTAGACATTTAAAAATAAGCTCCTGGACTCCGCTGTCAGGCACGTTGTATAAATAGCACAGTCTGGGCAGTACATGGCCAGGGAAGGAGCTGTAGGAGCAGTCTTTCTGTCTTTCTGGGATTAGCTGTACATCTGCTCCAGCAAGATTCATTGGAATTGAAATCCAGAGACATACACGTGCATATGCACACACACATGCCCACACACAAGCCCACACATGTGCACACGCACACACACACATCTTAAAGTAATTCATATACAATTTTTACCTCAAGTCCCATTGATACAAATGTGCACCTGAGTACTGCAAACAAAACCAGTAATGGTGGGCCAAACGGCTCCCAGCATCCGTTGCTGCAGATCCCAGTAGTGTCATGCCTTCACACAGCAGCCATGCCTCCATAGTTTTCCAGGTTGGAAATTCAGGAAGGGCTTAGTTGAAGGATCCTTCTGCTTCCTGTGGAATTGGTTTGGCCCACTTGAGGTGCTAGCCGTCTTTAATCACATGCTGGCCCCTGGTGAGGGTGCGCAGATGTGCATGGCGGGCCCTCCTCCCTCCTGCACACTCAGGCCCTCTCCACATGGTGTGTCCGACAGGGTCAGCTCAGCTCACTGCTCTCAGAGCCCACGGAGAGGCTGCACTCCTCCAAAGCCTGGGTCTGAAGCTAGCTCCATGCCACTTCTACTTACTTTTAGCTAAAATAGTCACAGGTCAGCAAAGACTCAAAGGAAACAGAAATAGGCTCTATTTCTTGATGTAGGAGTGTCAGAGGATTTGTGGCGTCTTTCATCTGTCACCCAAACTAATGGTGCTAGATAGCACTTTGTTGTTCAAAAGCCAGAAGAAGCTATGACTTACTCAAAGCCTCTTGAGAGCATATTGACCACAGAGTGTCCTTCCTGAGCATGGTGGGAACTTCCAGTGAGCTTCAGGGGTCATGCACAGTGGCACGGCAGCCGGCCTTCTAGATAGAAGGCCGAATCAGAGTCCACACTAAACTGCTCCTATGCTATTCTGTTTATGATGCCAGAGTTCAGAACTCTTCGTAACCCACTTCAGAATGACCAGTAACCCTTAGGTGAATGAGGAAACCCAAGGACTTGCCTTTGAGTTCTTGGCCAGCAGACAGTGACTGTGGTGTGGGCGTGTGCCTGAGCCCACTAAAGGCCTTCAGCTAAGAACGAGAGCAGACGACAAGGCAGCAAGACCCTCCGAGAGTGCTGGAGCTTTAGCCTCGCCACCTTGCTTCAGTGCCGTCGCCAGCCTGTAGAAAAATATTCCTATTTTGTGATTGAGAAACATAGAGCTTGTGAATGGCTATGATATCCTACCCAAAGATGGCTGGTGGGTGGTTCTTGCGAGTCCTGGTGACAGAAATGTCCCCTCTGAGACAGAAAGGCCTTAAAGCAATCCACCTGCTGTGCTCCCGATGCCAGACCCTGATGCCTCAATATGCCTGCGGTCTGCTGGGGGATTGCGCACGGCTGCCTTCCCACAGCCACTGTCACTCTCGAAAGGCCCGCAGTGGTCCCTTGGGGGCATCTTGTCTCACCGGTAGCCTTTCCCTGCAGCTCCTGCACTGGCCATCGGCAGCTGGAGACTCTCGGTTTGATCCAGAAGCCAGCGATCTGTGAGCGGCACTCTGGACCCCCTGGTGAGAGCGTGTGCCCAGGTACGAGCGCCATGACCAGGGTGGGGGGACAGGAAAGCTGACGCGGGAGCTCTGGCTCCACTTCATTCACTTCTCAACGAATGTTTATAATCGCTGTGTTGTAAAGATTACCGTCAAAACACTCTCACAGTTGATGCTGGGCTTTGGCTGAGTAAATGGGTCGGAACCGTGCGGGTTTTAGAGAAGGGAAGCCCAGTGCTGTGGTCAGACTGAGGAATAGTCACGGCGGAGCTTAGAACACGGTCCCGACCGCTGTAGTGCCCTTCTCTGCGCAGGCGCAGAGCGTGGGCTCGCGGTCAGACGCAGTGCGAGCACGCGGCGCCTCACTTTGACCTCATTGGGTTCCCCTTGAACACAGAGGCAAAGAGATTCCATAACTAGGGCAGATTCATACTGGATGAGCACTAAGCAGAGGCTGGATCTGGAATTGCACCCGGCAGCCCTTCGCCAGGAGCTGTGAGCCAGGTCACGCGGCCCCGGGGACGCAGAGGTGGAAGGACTGGCCTGCCCGCGCACCTCCGGCACTGCCCAGCGGCAGCTGGAGACTCTCGGTTTGATCCAGAAGCCAGCGATCTGTGAGCGGCACTCTGGACCCCCTGGTGAGAGCGTGTGCCCAGGTACGAGCGCCATGACCAGGGTGGGGGGACAGGAAAGCTGACGCGGGAGCTCTGGCTCCACTTCATTCACTTCTCAACGAATGTTTATAATCGCTGTGTTGTAAAGATTACCGTCAAAACACTCTCACAGTTGATGCTGGGCTTTGGCTGAGTAAATGGGTCGGAACCGTGCGGGTTTTAGAGAAGGGAAGCCCAGTGCTGTGGTCAGACTGAGGAATAGTCACGGCGGAGCTTAGAACACGGTCCCGACCGCTGTAGTGCCCTTCTCTGCGCAGGCGCAGAGCGTGGGCTCGCGGTCAGACGCAGTGCGAGCACGCGGCGCCTCACTTTGACCTCATTGGGTTCCCCTTGAACACAGAGGCAAAGAGATTCCATAACTAGGGCAGATTCATACTGGATGAGCACTAAGCAGAGGCTGGATCTGGAATTGCACCCGGCAGCCCTTCGCCAGGAGCTGTGAGCCAGGTCACGCGGCCCCGGGGACGCAGAGGTGGAAGGACTGCCCGACGGTCCCCATTGGGGATTCCCCTGTGTATAGTGCTGAGCCTTGGAGCCCTCTGGCGTCCTCCACCCCAGGACCCCGGCTCACTCCTCACTGCCTCTGGCCTCTGCTTTGGGTGTCCTCCGAGGCCCCAGCTGGGCGAGCACCGCAGGGCACGAGGTGAGGCTGTGGCCTCCATCTCCCTGGACAATTAGAGGCCTGGGTGAAGGCTTTGCTGGGTCTTTGCCGTGTTTAAATTTTGACAGCCATTGGGTACATCTCTGCTTAGCTCAAGACCAATGCAACAAACAAACAAAAAAACAAAAACAAAACGGGGTGGGAAGACTCGCAGAGGACAAGCACACGTGCTGCCCTGCCCTGCCCTGCCTGGCCCTGCCCTGCCCTGCCTCTTTTAACCCAAACATGTCCGACCCTGACCTAGGGAGGCTCTGCAGCAGGCGTCCAGTGTCCGGTCAGGTGTCGTTCTGGGATAACACAGGAACTACTTCTGCTTTTGGGAGTGTGTGAGTGTGTGTGTGTAAGTGTGTGTGTGGGCATGTTCACTCTCCTTGTTTTGAGTCTCAAATAATTTTGGGGAAGGCACAGTGTGGTGCTCCATTTCCATTCCTAGGGTCACAAAACAATAGGAGGAAGAGCTTTACAGTCGAACCAGGCCGAGAGATTGTGTGTACGACGCTGAGCCGGGACCCGCAGCGCGGCTTTGGTAAGAGCACCGGGCCAGCGAGGCGAGGCCCGCCGGTGAGGCCTGGCCTTCTGGCTCTGCCCTGGTGCCGCTGGGCCACTTTTCTCTTTGGATGTCCTACTCCCCTTTCCTGCCCCTCCTCCCCCAGTTCGTCTTTTGCAGTGATTGCTTCTGCTTTTCTTCTCCTTTAAGTTTCCTAAAAGGGCAATGGGATTTCGTGGTCAAAGTTTTCCTTTTAGATATGATATACATGTATTTTTTTCTTTTTTTAAAAAGAAATTTTTGCTATAGGGCATGTGTGCTTACTGAAGAGACAGAGACAGAAGGTGAAAAATCATCTCCCAGGGGGAATGGCCACACTGCAGTCCCTTCTCCTCCATTCTCATCTCAGGATTTTGGACACACACGCACACATGCTCGGTGGGAGTTGTAAGCTGCAGGGTCTGAGACTTGAACCGTGGTCGACTATGTGGGAGTCCAGCAACATAACCATTACGCCATTTGCTGGTCTCAAGGCCTGATGTTTTTAGGGTGCATCTAAGCATGAAAAAGGTTTTTTCCCAGTCCCATCTGACAACCTTTCTCTAGTCCATTTAAATTCTCAGTGATGGGAAAAGTAGGAAGTCTTGGTCTCTTACAGTTGATCATATTCTAATACTCTAGAGACCGCGTCAGGAATGGGATAGGAAGACACAACACTTGATTAAAAACCATCTCTTTATCTCTGTCTGCGGGAGACAGAGCTGTGAGCTGTGTGCCCATCTTTGGCCATGCTCCGCTAACGGGGGGCGATGCCCGTTTCCTGTAGCCCGGCCGAGGAGGAAGACCCCTCTGCAGATCGAGGGCCTGGTGCCATCCCAGCCACTGCCAATCAGCCTCTCTGAGCTGGGAAGTCATCGTGTCTCATCTTGAATTACAGGTTTTGTCATTAACGAGGGAGAAGATACGGGCCAAGCTGATCCTGGCATTTTTATATCCTCTATTTTACCTGGGGGACCAGCAGAAAAAGCTAAGAAGATCAAACCAGGTATATTTTCTTTTTAAGTAGCCAGCGATGCTACTGTAAGGGACTGCTCGTTCTCATTTTCTTGACGAGGTTGCTGAAAATGTTTTTCTTTTTTTCCAGGAGGGCAAATACTAGCGTTGAATCACATCAGTCTGGAGGGCTTCACGTTTGACATGGCTGTTAAAATGATTCAGAATTCTCCCGAGCGCATCCAGTTAACCGTTTCTCAGCCAGAAGGCAAGCCTCCACCTGCTTTCAGGAGCTGCAGAAACAGGAATCAGCAGTGCATCTTTCCTCTGGGGCACTCAGTCTTTAGCCCCAAATGGCTGCAGTCCCCCAGCTGGCTGGATTCAAAATGACTGAGAATACAGCATTATGGGAGGGTAGTCTGGCCACGCCCTGCCGGATACCTTTAGATTTGAGTCACTTCAAGTCAAATTCATTCAGATGGAATTCATTTAGTATATGAGTCTGGGCACTTTCTCTGGGTATAAATGAGTCCATGTCGAAAGCACTAAATCCGCTTGTTTGCGTCTGTATCCAGGTCTGAACAAAATCTCACGACGGCCCCTTCTTCCCACATGCGGTTGTTGAGCAGTCGATATTGCATTGCTAGCAGTAGATGTGTTCACTGGGGCAAGCGGCAGGTGCATGTGTGCAGTCTGTATGATTGTACGTGCACCCCGCACACACACAGGCTCCCTCTACATCCTTATATAACATCGTCCCATCCTCTGGACAGACCCACCGGAAGGTGTCGTCCCAATTCAAACGTGGGAACACAGAGTAAAAGGAATATCTGCCTTGCTCCAAATCCCATAACCAACGTGTGGTGCTGCCTTAAGTCCAGCCCTTCCTGGACACTGCTGGCCACACCTGTAATCAGCATGTGCTCCTCAGCTCCTTTTGGGGAACATGGAAGTAAACGTGCAGGTCTCCTGTGGGTGAAGACTGGGCCACCGACTCCTGCTTACTCGTGTCTGCTCCTTGAGCCAGCACAGAGCAGAGAGCACAGCGTGACGTAGCTGGGCCGGTGGCTAGCATTGCTGGACCTCGATCCCTTACATCTCAGACAGAGACCGTATCAGTGCCGATAATACTGTAAGGTTGGCTAGGCTTAGCGATTATACAGAGAGAGAATTTTACATATGAGAGGTTTCTAAATCCCCCCAAGAATCCTCCCTTTCTCTATTCTGAATGCATCAGCCTTCACGAGGTGCTAAATTCACGTAGTTCCCAGCAGCTCTAAGATGTCTCTCTGTCGCTGGAGGAAAACTGTGCCCATGTAGAGATGCCACTGAGATGCCAGCCTTCCCAAGCTGTTGACTTCTTTCCGGCTTATTTTTGTAGGAGTTTGCGGAAATACGCCCCGTGAAGAGGAGAACAGCATGGCCCATTCTGGGGTCTGCCCAGCCGACCTGAGCAACGGGCACCGGGGAAGTTCGTCCTCACACACACAGGACCAGGACAGAAGTGCAGACGAACTAGAAGCGGCCCCAGCTCCAAGCTTACTGCCCAGGCCGGAGTCTCAGCTTTGCCCTCTGCCGTTAAGGGTAACCACCCCTCTGGCTGACTTTCTAGAACGTGGCGGTGGGGTCTAAAGTGCAGCTCCAAAGCCCTTCCCTGTGCTCCACCTGCCACGTCAGCTGGACAGAGTTTACACAGCCCTGCTGGGCTTCAGCTTCTTCATCTGTAAAGCGGGGAAAATGTCTGTACCTCACAGTTGTTGAGAAGGGAGTAAGGGGGAAGGTAAGGCTCGTGCCAGGCCTGGACGCAGGGACCAGGTTGGAGCCTCTGGTGCCCTTAGTCCCTCACCGAGATTGTTACTGCCGATGGCGACCTGGGAAAGCTGATGGCGGCTCAGGGCGGGCCTGGGCGGTTGGGCAGCTTGTCTCTGCCTCTACTGGGCCTAGGCTGGTATTTCATGGCTTTTCTCTCGACCTCATGGAGGAAGAAGATAATGGCAGGCTTTGGTGTACACCTGCTTCAGTCCCAGCTCTACCATTCCTGGCTGTCTTCCTGACACGTGGGGCTGGGGATGGTGGAGAGAAGATGGCCTCCCATGGCTCCTCCCACCCTCCAGCCTCTCCACTGTGCTTAGGGCCCTGCATAACAGCCATTTGTATTCCATGTCCACGCTCTGACTTGGTCCTGCCCAGAAGAAACCCTGCTAGAAGCCTGCAGTTGGGGACAAGTGGGAACAGGCTTCTCACGCCCTCCCTCTGCTCGCACAGGTGGGCTGCACTCCTCTCCTGCAGACCACAGCTCTTAAAGGTGGTCTTGGCTGTGAATGACTCCGGGTTCCCATCAGCTACTCTGTCCTCTGGCTGCCCCCCACCCTGACCCCAGGGGATAACAGCTGTCCCCATTTCTAGCCCCAGGGTGCTGGGGTGCTTCTTCCTGGTTCTCTGAAGGCTGTTAACACCTTTGAAAAAGGGTCTCACCTCTGTCTTCTCTTTCCCGGGTGGAAAAGCAGTGCACCTTCCCGCTCCTGTTAAGACTCTGGAAACAGGCAGCTCACCGGACCTCTCTCAACCTCGTTTTCTTCTTTTTATGAACAGAGGTAATGATGCTGTCCACAGAGCAATGGAGACAGCGGTGCTGTGCCTAGGATAGAGAAGGAAAACAGAGTGTTATTCTACCCACCGTAGGTTCAGAGCTGGGGCCCCTGTAACAAAAGGCAGACTACAAGACAAAAGCAGATGAGGTTATTTACTGTCAGTTTTACCTGACCTGTGAGCCTTCACAAGAAAATGAAGACCAGGGTGAACAGTTAACCCCGAGTGCATTTCATAGGAGGCTGGACCAAGAGCGGAGATGTGGGAGATGGTGGGACGGAGGTTGTGAGAAATTTGGCAAGAGAGAAAAAGACGCCCCCTTCCTCCAGGTATATGGAGGGCCCCTCTCACCGCGGGCCCTGTGCTCTGCTTCAGGGAAGGTCAGAAAATCCGTCCTAGGTTTATGAGCTGCTTCTGGGGAGAAGGCGGGGGAGACCATGGGGCCCCTCCTACACATGCCGAAGGAGGCCCACTGAAGACATTTGATACGCCTAGGCTCCAGACTGGGGGTGGCGTGTCTTGAACCCTGTCTCCAGGCCCTGGCGGGAGGGCCCCGTGAATGCTAGTGTCTTTCTACATGGCCGAGGTGCTCACCGGGTAGCACGTCCCACAAGGGGCCTAACCACCGAATAAGGACGGCAGCGGACACCCAGCGGTGCTCACCTACGTATCAGGTGGCATCCTGAGCACTCTAAGTGTCGCCTCGTGAACACTTCATGCCCGCCCCACGAGGTAGTTACTGCAGCAGGTGGGGCTGAGACATGGGGGGAAGGGAACGTGCCCAGCGTCTCTCAGGGTGTAAGTGACAGCGCTGGAACTGGAATCCAGAGCTGAAGGCGCTCTTTGGAAGGCTCCCTGAACAGGAGGCAGGGAGAGAGGGAGTGGAGGCCGTGGAGCCTCTGCACTGCAGACCTGCAAGCTGGTTTCCAGAGGGCTGCCAAGGGGGTCGAGGGCATGCCATGGCTGCCGCTGACCACGGCTCAGGCTCGAACCTGTGCAGTCGGGCTTTTCTGGACCAAACAGTCAGCCTCGTGGCCAGGTGAGCTCTGTGACATAGCTGAGTGAGTGCTCTGACTTTGGGTCTCACCCTCAGCAGTCATTTTGCTTTTGAGATGTTAAAATTTGGGCAAAACATCTTGCCAGACCGCAGGGTATGGAAGGTGTCTGGAAGAACTGAAGCTTGGCCTGTTACTGTACCCGTCTTTGGAGCCTGTCCTGTTAGGTTAATGAGTCAGCTTGCTTATTTTCTGTGTGTCAGTAGCATTTCCATCACAGCGACTGGGAACACCGAGCAAAGGGGAAATGAGGAAGGACTGGGGGTATCCTGACTCCTTCTTTTGGGGACGGGGCAAGGAACATGAGCAGGGACTTGGTCATCCTCTCCCTACAAACGGTGGTCGGCTGGCCCGGTGTGTACACCTGTCGGCCTCCTCCTCCCCTGCTGTTCCCACTGAGACTCCACTCTCTGGGCCTCGATTCTTGTTTGTGCTACGTGTGGGGCTACACTGCAGAGCTCGCCCGTGCTGGCCGTGCGTCTTACCTCTCGGAGCCCCCAGGTGGTCATGTGCACTTTATCACAGCCATGCTCGACAGGGTGAATACTGGCGGGAACTGTTAGTTACAAGCTTCTCGTTCATTCGATAGCCGTTACATACGGGCAGGTTTGTCTCCTGACTGTCACCTCCCCAGTAAGCGCGTAGTGCCTCGCATGTGACAGGTGCTCAATGGATACTGTCACATGACTGGACACAGAGCGAGCAAGTCGTACACAACTGGTCAAAGTGCCAAGAAAAGTGCCTGGTGCGTGGTAGAGAATTTCCCTCTTCTTTCCTTCTCTAAACAGCCAACTGTCGTATAGTAGAGACCCAATAAACATCTCATGCCAAGAATGCTTAAAAGTCCTCCTGAGGGTTCCACAGGTCCTAAGAAGCTGCTGTGCCCAGTGGCCAGCATGCTATCACAAGCCAGGATTCTGTGCAGAACTACCAGCAAGAATCTGGATAGCATCAGTTCTAACATGGATGTTTGCATCATTGAGTGGAGACTCGGGAGCCCCTCCATGAATGGAGCCCCCGCCATGTGGCAGGCAAATTTACAGTCACATAGTTAGGAGGGGAATTCTCTCATCCTGTGGACCAGAAAACGGAGGCTGAAGAGATCGAGAGTCTTGTTCAAGGTCACATGGGGGCAGGCGATAAAGCTGGAAACAACTCCCCTCTTGTCACAGCTCCAATGGTCATGCTCTTCTGAGCTGCGATGGTGCCCAGTCCTGGGAGCAGACGAGAGCTGTGAGGTGCTGCTGCTTAGACAGGGCAAGTGCCTTCATGCTGACTTCTTTTTTGTTCATTTGGGGCAGGTTGCTGGTTTGTGTCCTCCATCACCCTCAGAAATCAACGCCGGGGAAATCTACTTTGTGGAACTGGTTAAAGAAGACGGGACGCTTGGATTCAGCGTGACCGTAAGACTTGTTAGGAAAGCTCGAAAAGCAGTTGAGACGCTGGTCGTGGTGGGCATTCTGTGCAGAGGGCACCCTCTGGTGATGAGCTCGTTGTATGTAAGGAGCTCGTGGGAAGTCAGCAGACCAAACCGGAGACCAGGGTGACCCGGGGCCAGCAGGGCAGTGCTAAGGAAGTCAGCACTGCACGGAGGGGTGTGGGTGGAATCGATGTGCCTTTACTCTGAGGTCAGGCTGGACCCAAGGAGCGAGCATCAGGGTGGGGCCTCTGGGACACCAGCCAAAGCTGAGTGGGGCAAGCTGGTGTCGTCCGAGATCCTCACGGTGAGCCTTGTGCCTAGACCCCGAGGGCCAGGGCAGAATCCTGCAGGCAAGACCTCCGTCAGCACAGGCCCTTGGCATTTGCTCTCTGAGTTGCGCCTGGCAGCCTGCTCAGGAGGGAGGCTCCACGTGCACTGAGGAACCCATGGCTGGGGAGTGGCACGGACTAGTGTGGAAGCTTCCAGGTCAGAACTTGGAAAGACTGAAAATAGCCCCTGTCTTAGGACTCTGGGGTGAGTCTGGATTCAGAAATGTCGTTGTTGGATTTAGCTGTTGATTGGAAACAGAAGGAAATTTCCTAGCTGGTAAGGAAACACCAGGACTGATGAAAACTTCCAAGGAAACCCCCAAAGATAAGTGAACGGAGGGCTACTCGGTCATGCTGAGTGCCTAGAGTGAGGACTCCTGATTGTTAGGGCACAAGAAAAACAAGAAATAAATCTCAGAAGCCCACATGGGCGATCAAGTCGGGACCACGTATGGTTTCTGCACTCCCGGCTTGGGTAACAACCCTCTCAAAACCAAACATAGAAGGGTGTTGTCTAAAAAACTTGCCGAATTTTGGGATAGAAACATATACCATGTATACACATATACCCATACACACACGCTAAGAGGGGGGTAATGGTATCCTTTGGCTGGCAAAACACTTTGATCTTTTGTAGAGTGAAATTTAATTTCAAAAATAATAATTTTGGTTATGTCACTGGACTCGCATATAGTTGACTATGGTTCAAGTCCTGGACCTGAAGGTTTGAGACTCACACAGGGCACATGTGCATACAAGCCCACGATCCTGAGAGGAGAATAGAGGAGGAGGGATTGCGGCATGGCCATACTCCCTGGGCGGTGATTTTTTGCTTTTTGTTTCTCTGGTGTGTGCATGTGCCCTATAGCAAAAATGTCTCTCTAAAAAAAAATTCTTGAAATTTCTCACTTTTATCCAAGTGGCCATTAAACAAATGAAAAACAAACCCATGAAAAGTCACAGGAATACAAATTAAAATGAAACTTTCAATTTTGTATCTATCAGCTTGGACAAATATGAAGGGTCTTCAAAAAGTTCATGAGAAATGCATATTATGAAAAAACTCCATACGGATTTCAACATTTTTCTGCACCAAAATAAACTACTTTAATTCCATTTTCTACAAACTCTTTGAAGCCCCAGTATGTATTTGGTGGATTGTAGAAAACAGGTTCTCTCATATAAAACTGGAAGAAATCAGAATAGTTATATTCACATACACGCTGGGATGTGATCTGGTAACGTCTACCACAATTTAAAATGCAACCGTGCGGGCCAGCAGGTGGCGTGTGATTAAGGTATTGGCCTCCCACGCGGTTGTGGTTTGAATCTCAGAACCAGTGGCTTGAAAAAAAGTCATGTTGGGGATGTGTGTGTGCATGCCCGAAATCCAAGAAGAGCGGAGGAGAAGGGATTGCGACACAGCTTTTCCCCTGGGTGATTCCTCACTTCCCCTCTCTCTGTCTCTGTCTCAGGTGAGCACATGTGCCCTGAGGCAAAATCCTTAACAGAAAAAAAAGAGTACGTGTGCATTGGCCCATAAAGATAGAAATAAGAGTCCCAGTAGGTAAGGCTGTACATGTGAGCAAATGTAACGTTTGTTTGTTGTTTTCTTTTTAGTTTTTTTGTGGTAGGGTGTGTGCTCTCACTGGTGAGAGACAGAGGGAAAATGAGAGATCGCTCCCCGGGAGGATGGCCATGCCACAATCCCTTCTCCTCCATTCTCCTCTCAGGATGTAGGGTATACACGCACGCATGCCTGGTGTGATTTTCAAGCTGCTGGGTCCGAGATTTGATCCATGCAGTTGGCTATGTGGGACCCAGCCACCTCGCCTCCATGCCAGCTGTTGGCCCTAGTGTGGCCTTTATGGTGGCAAAGCCACTGGGAGGAAAGGACTGCGAATCACTGAGGGATGTAGAGCATGCTGCACGTGACCCGTGTTCTGTGAGGCGTGTCACCTAGGTGGGCTTAACTGTGCCTTCATGTGTGTTAGTAAGAACAGAGGTCTGAATGATGACGCCACCATCTGCCTGGCAGGGCAGAGCTAGGTCACCTCCGCAAGTTCCGCATCTCTGTGGTGGGGAACGGCTCACAGCTGGTTACTGAGGGGAGAAGGCCGAGCTCCACTAAGTGAGCAGGACTCCGGACTCACGTCTGCGGGGCCTCGTGAGGCGATGCAGGCCCTTCCTGGGCACTGGCCACCTCGAGATTGTGCATTATCAGTTCTAAGAAGCCTCATTTCAAACGAGTCATGGCTAACTTGAACAAGATTCCACCAGGCCTTCGGGCCACCCGGCTGGCGGTTTGCTTGAAGCTTAGTCACACTTTTCCTTAACCTTTCTATGCGATTATGTGGACTTGGGTGGGTGTACAGAAGGCCGCGTGGACATAAGCCTGGTCGTGAGCAGTGACCATGTGCGGCCTGTGTGGGCTGCCGAGGTGGGGGCAGGAAGGGCGTAAAGACGGCTCTTGAAAGAGGAGAGAAAGAAAAAGCTGGACGAGAATGACAGTCCCCGCTGTCAAGCCTGTCGTGGGTGTGCCACCCGCCTGAAGTGCCGTCGGGGAAAAAGCGATAGGCTGATCTCCGCCTGGTGGCACTTGATCTCTGTCAAGTTAGTAATAAGTTACAGGATACCTGCAGTTTAATTGTGTTGTAATCACAAACCATCTCACAAACACATAAGGTGCAACAGACACGCCTCTGGGCTGTGTTCACATGTACCTGTGTTGGCAGCTACCTGCGGACAGACGGTGGGCACGTCTGACAGGACCGCGGTCACCAAGCACAGCCATGTGCCTGGGCTGAGGGGTGGCGCGGCTCCCTGGCACCCCTGTCTGCCATGCTCCTCAGGCCCACCTCCCCTTACTGCTCCGTGTCGCCTGAAGGGGTGACTATAGAGGACCGCGCCAGACAGGTGAAGGAGTGGGGCGGAGTGGTGGTCCGTGGGGGCTCCCTTAGTGTGGTTGGGGAGCCCCACCCCTAAGGAGCGGATGAACGGTGAGTTTCTCACTGTTTTTCAGGGCGGCATTAACACCAGTGTGCCCTACGGAGGGATCTACGTGAAGTCCATCGTTCCCGGAGGGCCCGCAGCCAAGGAAGGGCAGATCCAACAAGGTGAGGGTGGAGCCCCTGGGGACGCTGCCTTCTGGGGAGGAAAGAGCCCTGGGCTGGGAGGGGCAGCCTCCAGGCCTCGCCCCACTCTGGCTCCGAGGGCCTCTCCAGGCCGTGCTGTTCTCACCTGGGCAGGGATGGTCTGTCCCGCCCTCCCCACACGACGGTTTGGTGCGAGGTGAAGGCACGAAGCATGTGGTGATGCCCCAAAGGCTCAGAAGAAGCTGGGAGCTGTCTGGCCTGCATGTGTGAAAGGAGGGTCCCCCTTCAGGACAGAGCTGCACTGGGCACCCTAGTTCGGAGGTGGGGAGGGCACCGCAGGCCTTCTCTGTGCCCTTCCTCATGGCCTCTGTGCTGAGGGAACACGGTTTTCTACTGTTCTCCGGAACTGTTAGAACTGAGCCTGACCAGCATCAACCATGCCTCCCTGACCTTCTTTGAATAATAATAATTTTAAAAAATAAACATCCTGGAGCTATACGTATTACTCCAGAGTGGCTTGAAATTACTTTCAAAATAGTTCCACAGAAGGGGTAAGGTTGAACGGAGCTTTTGTGGAGTTGATCTGTCACATGCCGTGGGAGGGGCAGTGAGGGGGCCCAGGGAGGCAGCTGGTGCTCAACCCAGGCGGGACTCCTGCTAGTCCACAGGGACGCCTGGGCCCTTCTTCCCCCAACTACCAGGCTGCATGCGGGGCACTGGGCAGGGACTCGCAGAAGCCCCAGGGCCTGGGAGATGACTCACACCTGTCCCGTTCCCAGGTGACCGGCTCCTGCAGGTGGATGGAGTGAGTCTGCGAGGTCTCACCCACAGGCAGGCTGTGCAGTGCCTCAAGGGCCCCGGGCAGGTGAGTACACTGTTGCCGGGGAGCTTGCTTCCTTCCAGAGCTTTCCTGGAGGACACAGGAGCTGCAGTGGGAGGCGGCAGGACACGAAATGATTATTTTCTCTTTGTTTCCCTCTTTACTGTCCCTGTACCACCGCTTCCCTGTGAGGGTGTGAAACTCAGGAGATAGTGAGGGCTGTGTCCCAGCAGAAACGCCCCCTTCCCATGAGTAGCATTGACTTACCTGTCACTTGTGGCTTGCCTCAATTCCAGACCCAGACTGCGGACCCAAGGCGATGGAGCAGGGCAAGCTGCAGCCTGCTGGGCCCGGCCTTGCTTGCCAGCGTGTCCCCTGCTCAGTGGCCCTCTCACCCTCCCCTTTACCTGGGCCACTCCCTCCCCAGCTCCCAGGTCATGCATTCCTGTCACCTGTGCTTGTTCCCCGCAGGCCCCAGGCCAGCTACCCTGTGGGTCTGCTCACCACAGCGAGAAGGGATCAGGGCACCGAGGCAGAGATGCTCATCCCCTTACGTGCTCTTCCCGTGCAGGGCCCATTTGCACACTTTTTAATTTTGGGCAGCATTTTTTTCTCCCTTTTTTAGAGATATTTTTTGTTCTAGGGTGTGTGCACTCACTGAAGAGATAAAAAGCGAGAAATCATCCCTGAGAGAATGCTCACACCATAATCCCTTCTCCTCCAAACTCTCAGGATTTTGGGTGCATACGCACGCGTGTCTGGTGTGAGTTTCAAGCCTCTGTATCCAGGACTCAAACCGCTGTTGGTCAGGTGGGAGTCCAGCGATGTACCCATTACACCATCTGCTGGTCCCTCAGGCAGCATATCTTAAGTTGTTCATTTATTTCATTCGTGACAAAGAGTACATGCATGTGCACGAGAGAGAGGGAGGGAGAGCGCGAGAGAGAGACAGAGAGACAGAGAGACAGAAGCACCCTCGGCAGGGTCTCCTCTTGCTAGGACCCCCTCTCCCCAGCCCGCCTGCTCCCTAGGATCTTGGGCAGAGGAGCATGCATACTGAGCATGTTTTCACACACCCCCACCCCCATCCCAGGGATACAAACCCTGTCGGTGGGGACTGACGGCACCACTGGACTGACCCTCAGGTAATTTGCTGTTACCGCAGCATGTCTGGTGCTGTCTGAGGCTGGAGCTGTTAGATGCCGCAGTGTCCTGAGCAGAGCTGGCACTGCCCTCTCTCTGCACCCGGGGAGCCTGCAGAGCAGGAGTCCCGAGGGCATTTCCACAAACTGGGAGTCAGAGTTCTGGGTCCTTTGTGCTTCGTTTCCTGAAGCAGCCTTCTAGGTTATGGTGAAATCGACTTACACTGGCGACCTCAGCTGACATGTCTGTTCCTCAGACCTTACTAATGAGCATAGTTGGGGGGATACCTGGCTGGTCTGGCAGCGATGGCAGGTAGGAACTGCCTGGTGCTGGGTCATGGGCCTGGTGCTGAGGGACATCTGCAGCAGAAGGATGGAGAGGGGCCATGGCCCCTGATGGAAACGTGGCATTCTTAGGAAGCTTTCCAGTGATGTCTAGCTGCACGTCAGATATAACAAGATGGGCAGTCGCGCAGGAGAGTGGGAAATCAAGCCAGAAAGAAAAGGCAGGTGGACTGGCTTAGTGCTGGGGTGCCATGCTGCGGGTTTGGATTCCAGGTGATGGGTGACACTGGAAACTTTTAATCGAGGGTGTTGCGTGTTCTTAGACCAATCGATTGCCGCCATGATGGCAGGAGAAAGACAGGGTCCAGCAAACCAAGTTAGCTGGAGCTTGGCCCAGCCAGCTGGGTGCCGACACTGTGGGGAGTAAAGGGGAGCCTTGGGGGAGTTTGTCACTGGTGGCTTGCCTCAATTCCAGACCCAGACTGCGGACCCAAGGCGATGGAGCAGGGCAAGCTGCAGCCTGCTGGGCCCGGCCTTGCTTGCCAGCGTGTCCCCTGCTCAGTGGCCCTCTCACCCTCCCCTTTACCTGGGCCACTCCCTCCCCAGCTCCCAGGTCATGCATTCCTGTCACCTGTGCTTGTTCCCCGCAGGCCCCAGGCCAGCTACCCTGTGGGTCTGCTCACCACAGCGAGAAGGGATCAGGGCACCGAGGCAGAGATGCTCATCCCCTTACGTGCTCTTCCCGTGCAGGGCCCATTTGCACACTTTTTAATTTTGGGCAGCATTTTTTTCTCCCTTTTTTAGAGATATTTTTTGTTCTAGGGTGTGTGCACTCACTGAAGAGATAAAAAGCGAGAAATCATCCCTGAGAGAATGCTCACACCACAATCCCTTCTCCTCCAAACTCTCAGGATTTTGGGTGCATACGCACGCGTGTCTGGTGTGAGTTTCAAGCCTCTGTATCCAGGACTCAAACCGCTGTTGGTCAGGTGGGAGTCCAGCGATGTACCCATTACACCATCTGCTGGTCCCTCAGGCAGCATATCTTAAGTTGTTCATTTATTTCATTCGTGACAAAGAGTACATGCATGTGCACGAGAGAGAGGGAGGCGAAGCGCGAGAGAGAGACAGAGAGACAGAGAGACAGAAGCACCCTCGGCAGGGTCTCCTCTTGCTAGGACCCCCTCTCCCCAGCCCGCCTGCTCCCTAGGATCTTGGGCAGAGGAGCATGCATACTGAGCATGTTTTCACACACCCCCACCCCCATCCCAGGGATACAAACCCTGTCGGTGGGGACTGACGGCACCACTGGACTGACCCTCAGGTAATTTGCTGTTACCGCAGCATGTCTGGTGCTGTCTGAGGCTGGAGCTGTTAGATGCCGCAGTGTCCTGAGCAGAGCTGGCACTGCCCTCTCTCTGCACCCGGGGAGCCTGCAGAGCAGGAGTCCCGAGGGCATTTCCACAAACTGGGAGTCAGAGTTCTGGGTCCTTTGTGCTTCGTTTCCTGAAGCAGCCTTCTAGGTTATGGTGAAATCGACTTACACTGGCGACCTCAGCTGACATGTCTGTTCCTCAGACCTTACTAATGAGCATAGTTGGGGGGATACCTGGCTGGTCTGGCAGCGATGGCAGGTAGGAACTGCCTGGTGCTGGGTCATGGGCCTGGTGCTGAGGGACATCTGCAGCAGAAGGATGGAGAGGGGCCATGGCCCCTGATGGAAACGTGGCATTCTTAGGAAGCTTTCCAGTGATGTCTAGCTGCACGTCAGATATAACAAGATGGGCAGTCGCGCAGGAGAGTGGGAAATCAAGCCAGAAAGAAAAGGCAGGTGGACTGGCTTAGTGCTGGGGTGCCATGCTGCGGGTTTGGATTCCAGGTGATGGGTGACACTGGAAACTTTTAATCGAGGGTGTTGCGTGTTCTTAGACCAATCGATTGCCGCCATGATGGCAGGAGAAAGACAGGGTCCAGCAAACCAAGTTAGCTGGAGCTTGGCCCAGCCAGCTGGGTGCCGACACTGTGGGGAGTAAAGGGGAGCCTTGGGGGAGTTTCTGGTGGGGACACATAAGCTTTTGCGAAACCAGATAGACCAGAGGTGGACCACTAAAGTGTGGCCTCTGGCAGCTTAACGGTACAGTTCCCTGATCGACGGAGGGCTGTTTTAGCAGAACGAGGCGGGGGAAGGGAGCATGAGCGAGGGGAAGATGAGTCTGGCATGGAACATGCTGGGAAGGAGGCATGTGTGTTACTTCCAGGTGCGCTTGTCCAATAAGCAGCTGGATCCCAGCAAATAAGCTAGATTAGACAAAGCGGCTTATTGGAAACAGCAGGAAATGAAGATGCACTTTAGAGGGAAAGGACTGCCTCCCGCTTGCCGTATGAAATGTGCGTTCCGTCTGTCCACCTGTCCTTCTAGGCTGCACGACTGGTCTTACAGAGAAGAGGCCCAGGGGCGGCACAGCAGTGTCCTGCTAATGACAGGATGGGAGACGAACACGCAGCGGTTCCCTTGGTAACGGCCTTGCCTGGCAGGCACTCGAGCTGTGTCTCGGTGACAGATGGTGAGAGGAGAGAGAATTGAGTGTTACCATTGTCCTGTCATCTCGTGCTGCTTTTGAATTGTCAAGTCAAAGGGGAAGGCAGGAAGGCGTCCTCTGGGTTTTCTGAAGAAAGCGGGCCGTGACGATCGCGGTGGGGCCGGCTTTGTGATGCAGTAAGAGCCGAGCTCATAAAACGTGTTTCTGGAAAACAAATGCATTGTCCTGACATGGTGTCCAGGCACCATTCCGTCCCCAACCCTCGCTCGGTCTCCTGATGGGCTGCTGGAAGGTTAATGTTCGTGCCTGAATGTTCTTGGATGAAATCGGAGGGGAAGGCCGTGCATTTTCAGACCCGTTTGGCTCCGCAAGCTGAGGGGTTCTGGCACAGTTCTCTGAGGAACGACTGGGCAGAGGGAATGCTTCGGATTCCAACCTTGGGCTTAGCATCATGTCAAACAGCAAACCCAGGGCCAGTTTACGGGGTCTAACAGCACATCTCTGGGCGGCCTGTGTCTGCACTTGCCCGTGATTTCATCTCTCGCTGGAAGAACATCCGTTTCCTGTGTGCGTTCTGGGGCTTGTCTCTGTTCAGTCCCTCGTAGAGATTTTCAGTTCTGCTGCAGAAGGCCTAAGGCAGAGGAAAGCAAGGTAGCCCTGGGGTGGGGCGATGGGGCGGGATGGAGGGGAGCGTGCCTGTGTACGGCCATCCGTGCCCTCCACGCTTACTCCCCTGCCCTGCCAATGGCAGCCTTTGAGAGGCTGACGAGGAAATGAGCTGAGGAGGCCAGCTGGCTGAGAGAGGGTCGGCCACACAGCACCCCTCCCCCGACTGCCCCATCAAAGTTCACCAGCTGGTGCTCAGTCCCTCTGTTTGTCGATGGCATCTGCACTGGCAAAGGCCCAGCAGGGGCGGCTCAGAGGCCACTCTGGCTGCCAGACCACCAAGGTGCCCAGGGCTGTGTCCCTCTTTGGTGCCCAAAGGCAACTGTTTTGTCTATAGTCATCCACACGGCCAAACAAAGCACAGCTGCAGCATTGTCCTCAGACTTGACCGTAATACTCTCTGAGGTCTAATACACAAATCTAGTGTTGTATATTAAAAATGATTAGGGCTCTAAGGAAGGATGTGTGATATAATTGTTTAAAATGTTTATTTCTTCCATGAGTAAGAGAGAGAGAGAGAGACAGAGACAGAGAGTTAGCACTCTCAACAGGGATTTGGCACCGCGATCCACTCCTGGTCCAGCCAGCCGGGTCATGGGCACGTGTGTGTCTCTGAGTGGGAGGTGGGAGCCCCTGTGGAGAGCCTGCCTGTTCACTGCATTGTACTGCTGGACCACTGTTGGTCCCCCAGGAGTTTATTAACTGCCAAGAGCACGTTGCATAAGCTTATAAATTATATTTTGGTGTATAAACGTGACCGGTAGTCCGTAATTACATGAAACCTTTGAAAAGTGGCCAGTCCAAATGAAGGAAACACAGGCTGGAGTTTGATGACTTAGCTTGTAGGAAGAATGCAAGCTCTCTCGTTTATAAATTTTAAAATACGAATTACATGTAGAAATTTTAGAGGGGTAAGGTTAAGTAAGTGAGGTTTATTTTGCCTTTCTCCTTTCACAAAACGTAGCTATTTGAAAACGTTGAGGTGGCACTTCTGGTCGGTATTTGCAGTCCACGCTGTGTTTTATGGACGGCACTGATCTGTAACATATCTGGTGGATCCGTCATTAAACATCAGTAAATGAAAACTTCCTTTGTGAAACAGAAATACTGGTCTCTTGACAATTTGCATTTGAAGACTGGGCAGTTTCACCTGTCATCTACTAAAGGACTTATTTTTATCTGTATCCCACAACACAGGTCTTACATTTGAGGTCACGCTGAGAAAGAATGCCGGTGGCTTGGGGTTCAGTTTCGTGCAGATGGAGAGGGCAAGCTGCAGCCACCTCAGGAATGATCTCGTTAGGATTAAGAGGCTCTTTCCGGGGCAGCCGGCCGAGGAAAATGGGGCCATTGCAGCTGGAGACGTCATCCTGGCCGTGAACGGAAGGCCCACAGAAGGCCTCACCTTCCAGGTGCTAGAGCCGCGAGCCCTCAACTCTGGGTGTAGGCTGATACTGGCTGTGCTGCTTTCAACATTCCCACCATTCGGAATACTCCGGGCTCCTGGGAGTCACACTGGAGCCTGGACCTTGCTCACGCGAAAAGAGCAATTAGCAGAACGTTCCCACGTTACTTTCCCATCTCAGTTTCTTTTTTTTTCTTTAATTTGCCAGAGGGCACGTGTTCTCACTGGGGTAGGGGGAGAGAGAATAAGAAAGAAAGCACCACCCCCTTTGGAGAACGGCCACTCCACAATCCTTTCTCCTCCCTTTCTCCCTCCTTTCAGGAGTTTGGGCACACACGCACATGTGTCCAACATGTTTTTCAAGCTGCCAGGTCTGGAACATGAACTGAACAGTCAGGCACGTGGGATCCGGCTGTCGTCACTGCCGCACCATGGGCTGGCCTTTCAGTTTAAACATCTGACCATGAGGCAGCCTGAATTCCCTCGGGCTCATTAGTGATGCAGAGGATGAGACTGGCACGGGCTTTCAGCTCACGTTCCCTGGGTGGTGTGAGGGCCAAAGGGACTGGGCTGGGTCCCTGTCCGCTAGCCTTCCCATTTCTCTGCTAAATTCATAGTGCTTGACATATGTGCTATATCGATTGTCCGGCCTGTGGATGCAATGTGAGACAGAGACAGAGACAGAGACAGAGAGCCACACGCAGATGCTCCTCAGTTTCCAGCACCAAATCTCATTGACATATCGGACGTATCAGTTGGGTCCTGGTGGAAGACTGAGCCATTTGAGGAGAGTTTAATAAACTTCAGGAAGGTAGTTGGGAAGCTTGAGGGACTGGTGATGAAGAGGTTCCTTTAGCCACCCCACACCCAGAGGGAGAGAGGACAAAGCAATTACTCAACCCCACGCTCTGAGGTTAGGGTGGAAAGGACTTGCTGGCAAGAGCTGTGGCGTCAGCTGAGGGACAGTCATCAGGCGGGGACCCTCAGGTGAGGAACCAGGAAACACCAACCTCCCTCTCCCTTCTCTGGCCCCTGCCCTGCTCCTATTGGCTGAGCCCAGTGGAGGCCTCACACAGCCCACAGGCCGCTCCAGGAGCACGGAGCGGGTGGATGAGGGGAGGCGGCCCAGGCAGGGACTGGGCACGTTGGGAATCTCCCCCCAGCAGTCATGTAGAGAGGAAGGCCACACCTTCATCCACCCACCTGCTTCCAGAGGTGTTCTGAGGGTGCCACTGGGCTGGCCTCTGCCAGAAGCCTGGGGACAGAGGCGACAGCCCTGTGGTCACAGAGCTCATGGTGGGGGTGGGGGACACACAGGGGAACAACGGCGAGGGCAGGAGATGAGGCCCTGGGGAGCCAGGGAGGAAATACATCTGCATCCCTGCAAGCACTGGGCAGCCCTGGGGTGGAGGAGCAGCTGGGCCAACTGTTCTTAAGCAGAGTGATTTTGCCTCTTGGGGGACACTTTCCCTAGTCCAGAGACACCTGTGGTTGTCACAACTGACGGGTGCTAGCGGGCAGAGACCCGAGATGCTGCTAAACATCTGCAATGCACCGGACGGCATCTCATGGAGCCGTCCGGCCAAAATGTCAGTAGTGCCGAGAGACTGAGAAAGCCTCGCCTAGATGGCCACAGGGACTGTGGAAGCAGTGGGAGGGCGGCCTGGCAGGAGCTCAGGGAATGGGTACAGGTGGGCAGGTGGGAGAGCGAGCCGGGGCAAGTGTGCGGGGTGGGCCCGGTGAATCAGAGAGAAGGTGCAGCACAGGGACTCGGCTGTATCTGTGTACTGGAAAGACCGCCCTTGAACGTGGAGGAAGGCAGGTGGGTGGCCTAGAGGCAGGAAGCAGAGAGGCCACTGCAGTGTCACAGGTGAGAGGATCCCAGGGCGTGCGCCAAGCACAGCAGGAAGCTCAAAGACCAGTGCCAGGCCATAGCCATTGGTGAGCTCTGAGATGAGGGGAGGAAGACTGAGGGAGCCACGTGTTTGAGTCGCTCTCTTTCTCTCTCTCAAGAAAAGGGGTAGGCACTGGCAGATACTGAAAGGGCCCTGGGCAGACCCTGGCTGTTTCCAGCCCTGTGTCTGGGTGTGGCCTCTGTGGGGCCTTGGCCCCTCACATTTGGGAAGTCAGGCTCACTGTGGTGTTCTCTGAAGCTCTCTGGAGCCGAGACACAGATCAAGCTGGAGGGTGGTGGTGGCCTTGGCGGTGGCAGCCCCAGGTCCGACCTTGGGTCTTACTTTCTTGCAGGAGGTGCTCCATTTACTGCGAGGGGCCCCTCAGGAAGTCACACTCCTCCTTTGGAGGCCCCCTCCAGGTGTGCTGCCCGACTTGGAGCAGGACTGGCAGGTGAGACGCAGCATCTTCATCCTCTACCTGGCCCCTGCCATGCTGGCCCGAGTTCAACAAATCTGACCAGCCCAGGAGGCCCTGTCTTTGCCTGCTTCTGCCTCCCCCAACATTGAGGTCTTCCTCTGAACATGCACGCGGTTAGACCTTGGCCCTGAAACATCCAGGGCCAGCCTCTGGGCAGCCCAGGCATCGGACACCCGGGAGCTAGGAGCAAGGAGCATAGGCTCAAACCAGGCAAGGGACTTCCGGTAAGGGTTTCCTTTCTGAGGAGCGAAGCAGGAAACACGGTGTCCACCCGCAACCCTGAATCATGAGTTAGATGTGTAGGGTCTGGGATCGCAAAGAGGCTCTGCGGTCAAGAAAATTTGGAATTTTCACCTTGATGCTTATGTTAGTCTGGTTCTCCAGAGAAACAAACTGTATTGACAATCTCTCTCCCTCTCTCATCTCTCTCTCTCTCTCTCTGTGTCTATATCTGTGTTTGTGTGTGTGTAGAGAGAAAGAGATTAATTTCAAGGAGTTGGCTCACTTGCCTGTGGGGCCTGGGTGAGACGCAGCATCTTCATCCTCTACCTGGCCCCTGCCATGCTGGCCCGAGTTCAACAAATCTGACCAGCCCAGGAGGCCCTGTCTTTGCCTGCTTCTGCCTCCCCCAACATTGAGGTCTTCCTCTGAACATGCACGCGGTTAGACCTTGGCCCTGAAACATCCAGGGCCAGCCTCTGGGCAGCCCAGGCATCGGACACCCGGGAGCTAGGAGCAAGGAGCATAGGCTCAAACCAGGCAAGGGACTTCCGGTAAGGGTTTCCTTTCTGAGGAGCGAAGCAGGAAACACGGTGTCCACCCGCAACCCTGAATCATGAGTTAGATGTGTAGGGTCTGGGATCGCAAAGAGGCTCTGCGGTCAAGAAAATTTGGAATTTTCACCTTGATGCTTATGTTAGTCTGGTTCTCCAGAGAAACAAACTGTATTGACAATCTCTCTCCCTCTCTCATCTCTCTCTCTCTCTCTGTGTCTATATCTGTGTTTGTGTGTGTGTAGAGAGAAAGAGATTAATTTCAAGGAGTTGGCTCACTTGCCTGTGGGGCCTGGCGAGCCTGCAGTTAGCAAGGCAGGCTGGAGACCAAGGGCAGGGCTGGTGTTGAAGCCCAAGCCCAGAGACCGTCTGGAGGCAGAATCGCCTCCTTGGTGGGGAGGTCTGTCCTTGCTCTGAAGGCGTCTGCTGATTGCACCAGGCTGGCCCCACGGTTGAGGGCCATCTGCTTTACTCAGTCATGGTGGAAATGTTAACCATCCCTAAGGAACACCCCCAGCAACACCTCAGCTGGTATTTGGCCAAACAACTGGTTGTCGTGACCGATGGCTGCTCCTGCAGCTGTTCATGGAGAACGGACGTGAGGGCAGGGAAAAGTGAGTTCGGGAGTTGTCAGTGCACGGACGTTGTGTGAGACTGAGAAATGGCTGACTCTCCTTGGGAAGGAGTGCAGGAAAAGTCAAGATGCGGGCTGCGATGTCAGCATGGGCACTCCACCCCTGAGGCCTGGTCCTGAGACGCGAGGCTGCGTCTCAGGCCAGGAGAAGGGTCTGGGAGTGGCTGGAAAACCAGGCTAGGCAGAGCTTGCATAAATTCCACGCAAGAAGATGGGAAAGGAAGCTCTCGAGAAGACAGAGCGGTCTGTTTTGTTGAATGTACCCAGAGGTCCTCGAGTGAGGTCATCTCATCGCCCTTTGGTTTTAGAAAGATAGAGGTGGCTGAAGACCCCCTGCTTAGAGCCTGTTCCGTTGAGTGGTGAGGACGGAAGACTGGTTGGGCTAGGTGCAAGAGAGAAGGGGGGAACGTGGGGATAGTGAGAAGAGACTGATCCAGGCGTTCTGCCGCGAAGAGGCGCAGAGAAGTGGGTGGCTGGTAGGTGGGGGTGGTGGGGGCAAGGACGCAGGCTGCTCACTGGGATTACGGTGGGAGGAGCAGGATTCTGATCCGAACGTGTCCATTCTCACTGCGAAGGTAGGGGCAGAGCGGGAGGCACTGTGGGAGGTGAGGAGAGAGAGGATGAGAAGTAATTTAGAGTCGGAGGTAGGAAACTGCACTTACGAAGGAGGCAGGCAGATGCCCCGGAAGTCTCGAGTGCCTGCTTGACATCTGTCCTCACACGTTGGAAGTGATCTAGTCGGAGGTTCAGAAGTAGGCGGCTTCACTGGGAACTGACATGAAGACACACTGCCTGCCCGAGACCTACGACTGAGGGAGAAAGGGGCAAGAGGATGGGACGGCAGGGTCCTCTTGTTTGTAAAGGGCAGAACCATAGCTCACAGGCAGCCCAGAAGGGCAAGAGAGGACGAGGGTGTGGGAAAGGAGCGGAGGCGATGAAAGGGCAGCAGCACACAGCTGGGCTCCTGGAGGGGGGAAAGATGGCTGGGAGCAAGTCTGGGACGATGGGAGGGAGAGGAAGGAGCAAGACTGAGATTCTGGAACCTTCCCCAGGGAGTGTGAAAGCATGATGGCCACACTTTCATTCTATCTTTTAAATCTCATCCATTTCTCATTTTGAGCTTTTTCCAGAGAGAGATTTTTGCTATAGGGTGTGTGTATTCGCTGGAGAGGCAGAGAGAGACAGAGAAACAGTGAGAAATCACCCCCTCCTGGGGAGGTGGTCATGCCATAATCCCTTCTCCTCCATTCTCCTCTTGGGATTTTGAGCAGGCACGTACACACGCCTGGTGTGAGTTTAAGCTGCTGGGGCTGGGACTCGAACCATGCTCAATTATGTGCAATGTAACCATTACAACATCTGCTGGGCCCCCACTTTTAGTTTTCACTTCACCCTTTCTGATGTGCACAGCGTGTCGGTTGAGCAGTAAGTATTTAGGATTTATGTCCCTCTCATTGAGGGGGACGTGCACCAGGACAGATGAGGAGACCATGACGCTGAGTGACAGAGGTGAAGGTTCTCCTTACCTCTGGAGTTGAGGGCAGAGGCGAGAGCCACCCGGCGCTCTATCATGTTGGGGATGTGGGATAGAAGGACTAAGAGGCACTTTCCCGGAAAAGGCAAGAACATATAGAAATGAAACGGACACACACGACGGCCATGCAGCTCATGCAGTGAGGGAGCCAGGCGGAGGGTAAGCCTGGCTCCAACAGCTGAGTAGCGCACAGACAAGGGGTGCAGCCAGGTCAGGTCACCCAGGGGGCGGGATTGTAGACAACGCGGCTTTTGCTGAACCCCGGACTGTTTTCCTAAGGAAGGTTGAGCACAGGCAGCGAGCCCTAGCAGGTCATCAAAATCAGAAGCTAGAGGCTGGGGTGTCAGCTGCTGAGGGGAATCAAGTCATGTTTGGAGAGATGAGGTCACGGCCTGGGAAGGAGCATCTCGGGAGGGCCGGCCACCCTGTGGTGGCAAGTGCAAAGGACTCCGGAAAAAAGTTCTTATTGGAAAATGAGAGAAAGAGTCTGTTTTCAGATCTGGCTATTTTAATGTTTAGCTAGATTTTGCAAATATTTTTAATTAAAAATAAAAATAATGCTCGCATGTGTTGAGAGCTCCCACGTGCCCCAAAGCTGCTTAGAGGCAAGGTTAGGCATGCTGCCCAGCGCCCAGCGGGAGACGTGGGGAGGCTGAAATCCCAAGCCCATCTCTTAACTGCTCAGATCTACAATCACATGAAAAACAGCCTTTTCTTTTTCAAAGAAGCGATTTTTAGATTTTCTCAGTGTGTATCATGGAACCAGTAACATTAGCATTTCTTTTAATAGACTCCTGTCCTCTCAGCGGACAAGGAATTCACCAGGGCGCCATGCACTGACTTGGAGCAGAGCCCCAGCCTGGATCAAGAGGACACCTGGAGGGACAGCATGTCTCCAGACATAGGGCAAGGCCTGAGCCTCAGGCCAGAGTCTTTCCAAAAGGCCATAAGAGAGGGACAGTGGAGCCGAGACAGAGAGAGCCCTTGGGCCAGTTTCTTGACTCGTCCTCTGGAGTCCCAACCTCACTTATGCAAACTTCACCAAGAAATGGAGGCATTAACTTTGGCTACCTCTTTGGAAAAGGATGTGAGGCAAAACTGCTATTCCGTTTGTGATATCAGAAAACTTGGAAGGTAAGATTCACCATGCTTGGGGAAGTTTTCCCAGTTGCATGCATCGCATTGCTAGAAAATCGCAATGAAGCAGTCAGTACCTCTGCTCGGATGTGTGTCACGCCCAGCTCCATCCTGGGCTTGTGCAGGGGAGGTGGGAACATGAGCAGCGTAAGGTCTGGAGCTGCCATAACCACAACCCGTGAGCTTCTGGAGAAGCAAACTCCACCTGGACCACAGTTCCCAATATATCTTGGGGGCTACAGACGTCAGCTTTGGAGTCTTCTCCCAGCACTCAAACCTTTGTCCTGCATCCCTCCTGGTGGCTTTAACACTGTGGTAAGAAGGCTGTCCTCCTGTCATTAGACGGGAGAGAGTTGAGCTGTGTTGTGTAAAATCCTTAGTTCTTTAGTCTAGAGCTCTAAGATCAGAGACCTGTCCCGAGACACGGAAAGAAAACCCACAAACACTTGTACAGTGTGAAAAAAGTTTTAGTAGGGGGAGTGAAGATTTTTTAATAGAAAAGGAATATACCTTCATTCCTGAAAGGCATGTGGGCGGGAAGCTGCCAGAGAAGGTCAGCTGCCCTGGGCATGAGGTTAGGGTTTACATTTATCATGGGAGTCAGTAATGAACATTTAGCAGGGGAAGGTCTGTCATAGTATCTGGCTTATTTGATTGCTCAGAATTTTTCCTACACTTGTGCAATTCTCTCTCAGGTAGAGAATTCAATGACCTAATCATACATGCTCGGTATGGACTTAGAAGCTATGAGCATCCATATTTTGATGAACTACCCTGCTAGTTTATTGCCCCAGTGGGAACTACGATGTTGACCTGGCATCCCATCCCGGTGGTGAATTTCTGTGTGTGTATCTGGGATGGCAGGAGAGAGGATGACAACCTTCCCAGAAGCAGGAGCTGGGTGGGAGGAAGTAGTCTTTGCAGAGGGTCTGGTTGTAACTCCTGATAAATTGATGGGCAAGGTGGATGGCCCCCTGTAACTCCCGATAAACTGATGGGTAAGGTAGGCGTCCTCCTGCTGTCTTCTCAGGGCCGCTCGCTCATGTTTAACTACCTGCCTATCATCATCTCTGCAGCTAACATAATGCTTTGCTGTCAGCACCAGCTTTCTAAAAAGCTACCTGTCTGTCTTCAAAGCCAAACTAAAACATTCATTCTAATGCAGATTTTTAATTTAGTCAACATTTTTGTGTGCATCCACCTGTATTTCTAGTCCTCAATCCTGTTCTGATGGGAAACACACTCTTCGATTCAATTTGATGACTGTCTTCCACATACGCAAGAGCAGAGAGACAGGTACAAACCTGGTGAGATACTGCTTCTAGGCCTTGGCTAGCTAGACACGGGGGCGCAAAGCCTGCAGATAAGGAGGAGACTCTCAATTCCCTAAGCAGACCCTCTGAGCTGTAATGGCTCTTATTTGATGGTCCTCTTCAAAGAATAGCAAGGGCAGATCTATAGGAGCTGGAAGGTGACACAGAGTATGAAGCAGCAGTGAGAGCTGTGGCAGACGGGAGCCTTACAGTCCCTATGAGCATCCGGATCCAATTATTTAAAGAACACTGCCAATCAAACAAAAAACAACTTTTTTTTTTTTTTGAGAGGTTTTTGCTATAGGGCGCGTGCACTCGCCAGAAA